CAAAGGTACATCTCCCTCAAATCGGGGTCAAAGGTGTTTTGTGGCATCCTCAAAGCTCCGTAACTTCATCTGCTCAACACCTTGCATCCCGAGATCACTGATTCCGAGGCCTCGCAATTGAGTGGAAAAAACCAACCACGGCTACAAAAGTAAACGAAGACAGATTGACAGTAAACGACGAAACACACTTTACGGAGGATAATCTTTAAATATTTCAATGGCCCCGTCACAAAGTGGACGGCTTCATTTCACAGTATTTGCCAGTTTCAATTTGAATGACATTCCGGTCGCTGTTCATTGTGCGGAGGATTTATTTCTCAGTAAGCCAGTTCGGTATTCCTAACAGGCAAGGTCATTCGGGAATAAAGCGCGCTTTTGATTTGACGGTATGGCCGCACCGATATATGGGGCAAATTAGATCTCTTGAACGCTTTGGTATTCCCCAATGCATGACCTCGGCCGTGTTTCGAAAGGGCTCATTTCGCACATGTACAAATGTGATTTTGTCTCAAAAGTCTTAATGGACTCTTCAGGCTTAAAACAAGAAACAGACAGCTTAATAGCGCTTCAGGTGAAGTGTTCAAAGAAGAAGTACCGTGGCTTTGCTACAACACGTTTTTTTTCTGATCTGCATCCCGTGAATTTACATAGTTAGGAAACTTGCGATGAATTCTGATCTGAATTTTCTGATCTGCATCCCATACGGAGTTAGGAAAGTTGAATGAATTGGTCTAGATGAGCCATGAAACACGATAACCGTGCTTCATCGAAAGAAAATATGACAATGGCCAGCCGTCTTTCTTTTCTTGGAGCAAAGGAAATCAGTAAGCTGAATCCGGGTATAGTCAAGCTATTGACATAGACTGTGCACCCACTAAGTCACGTGACTATGTTGGCCAGGGTGCTCAACACCAACAAACATGGCGTCCACCACGGCAGAGTGTGTCAAAAGTGTTATTTATCAAAAATAAACCCGATGGTCGGCAAAGTACTCACAGACTACGTGTATACTGATTTGCTGAGTACTTCACCAAAAGTTGGCTTTTAGTTTGCTGTGGGAGGATGCCATGTTAGTTGATGTCGAATGGCCATTGTAGATCAAGTGAATTAACCGGCGTAATCGGTCTGTTATTTTAATGCATTTCCTCCGCACTGATGCCGTCAAACTAAATACTTCGTTTGGTACCTGGCTCAATGGCATCTGAACACCTTTCTCAGATTATTCATGGTTAATCACGCCCTTCTGCCACACAGCAGACGGCGTGCTGGTCCTTTTTGATTGAAAACGGGAACAACCTCCCTCTTTTGTGCAAAGTATGATGCTGGAAAGTTCTGCCTCGAACCTGTCTGTATAAACACCCAGGGTCCAACGAAGAATGTTTTTAAACAAAATTTGTCTATTGCAATGGTTTAAAAATTTTGATTTCCCATAAGTAATCTGGTTTCAGGAAAAGGCGATCTGCCAAACAGACTGTATTCATGACTTGGTCATCTTGAATTAAAAGTGCAGTAAATGTTTCGTTTTCGGACCCTGAGAATGAAAAAAAAACAGTGACAAAATCATGCCGGTTTTTGTTTAGAATAATTTAACAAAAATGAAAATAATACACTTAAATATCCAAAAGTCACATTACAAGAAAAATTAAAAGTAGAGTTTGGAACCCGCAACATTCTGGCATGAGCACCCCATTAAACAGAGTAGACTGAATATGACTGATTCAGGGAACAAGACAAATGCGATGGTTTCCCAGTAAAAAAGGTCATTTCCCAAACTCAAATTTCGGCTGGACAGTCCTATACGGTCTGATTGAGATACCAGTACGTGCGTATACTAACCTGTGACGCAACACAGAAATGAGTTCGCAAATGCCGCATACACCTGATAGCTGGTTGGATAGTTGTACCGGCAACGATTCACGAAGTGCTCGCAGTTGCTTTTGATAAGATTATAATCAATAGCTACTCTCTCTCGGTGCATTTTCTTTGCCCTTTCCGCAACAACGTCAGCAGACAAAGGAGTTTTCGCTTTGTCCATAGAGTTGTTGATTCTCACTTTGCTTGACGTGCCCAGCACCGCCCTAATGGAGTCAGCTCGTATCTCGGGCTTGCTACTTGCAGAAACCGCACTGCCTGACGTATTCTCCTCGGAGGAGGCCGCCCCTCCTTTAAACTTCCCGAAGTGAATGACAACGTGCTCCATCCCATGGTAATCACCGACGTATATACCCCAGTGGGCGTACTTACCGCGGTCGAACTCCAGCCGATCACCTCGGCGTACTTTTTGTTCCAATTCCCTGAAATCATGATCGTCAGCCTCATACCAGGCACCTATCGTCCCTTTATGGCTTTTGCTAGCCATGTTCAGGCTGCCCCGATGAAATAAAAAGGAAGGGAACTGAAAGCAATCACCACGTTCACACCTTTACAACTGTTTCAATGCGTTTTCCTCTCCGCAAACTGTATCTTCCGGACGAATTTCTCACCACATCAACATGCATGCACTGTCGTTTTGAATTCGCACAACTGCAACAGCGAAAGGATTTGTGAGCAGAGCGTAAAACTGCGTGTACACACTACATAGTATAGTGTGACACCTGCCCATAGTGCGCATTACTGTGCTCATGCCACGTAAGTTCATGCCGATCGAGACAACACTCATCACAGGTGCGCAAGCGCACTTTATTTTCAAGCAAACAACAGCGGTTTCTCGTGCGAGAATACTACGTCATGAATCTTTTCAAAGGCTGGTCTGGTAGAATACAAAAAATGAGGCAACACAAATGCATTTCTAGATTATCTGAACTCAACACTACCCAAAATCACTTTTTTTCTGTTCGTAAGATTTCTTAGTAGCAGTGAATGTCAGAATATATAGAAAAGTGAATTTCAAAGACCCTTTCTATCACCGAAATGAATGAAAATTGTAAAATTTTGCACCTTTTCATTAATTAATTCTTTATGAAAATAACTTCCGCCAAACAAAAATGCTACTCAAAATTGAAGCCTCAGTGCATCGAATTCAAGCATTTATCTTGAATCCGTCTAATAATTTAAACTAGATAATTTCAAATCTCCCCGAAATTGTATCGTCCGAACGGTACACAAAAATTCAAGACTATATATTTCGTATCGATTCACTGCACCAAAATGGTATAACCAAATTATGGGCTGATTTTCAGTTAGGATAAACTGTAATGTAAGCTAAGTGCCCCTCCACCATATCACTGTCCTACGTAGGCCTACTATCTGCAAAGTTGGAAAAATGACCAGAAAAAATAACCCAATCGTTGCAAAGGGGGTCAGGGTTAACAATCGACTATTTTGTAAAACGACTCATTCCTCCGCCTTCTTGGGTGAACGTAGGTAGGCCGTGAATCTGAAAAATCCCAACCAGGGCCAACCTCAAGCAGCGACTGCATCGCTTTCATTTTGTAAATAAACCATGTTCACTGTCATTCAAATGGGGTTCATGGCACGATCACGCATACATTCTAAAATTAAGCAAACTGTAGACTATTTTNTTGATGAAAATAACTTCCGCCAAACAAAAATGCTACTCAAAATTGAAGCCTCAGTGCATCGAATTCAAGCATTTATCTTGAATCCGTCTGATAATTTAAACTAGATAATTTCAAATCTCCCCGAAATTGTATCGTCCGAACGGTACACAAAAATTCAAGACTATAAGACTATATATTTCGTATCGATTCACTGCACCAAAATGGTATTTATAACCAAATTCTGGGCTGATTTTCAGTTAGGATAAACTGTAATGTAAGCTAAGTGCCCCTCCACCATATCACTGTCCTACGTAGGCCTACTATCTGCAAAGTTGGAAAAATGACCAGAAAAAATAACCCAATCGTTGCAAAGGGGGTCAGGGTTAATAATCGACTATTTTGTAAAACGACTCATTCCTCCGCCTTCTTTGGTGAACGTAAGTAGGCCGTGAATCTGAAAAATCCCAACCAGGGCCAACCTCAAGCAGCGACCGCATCGCTTTCATTTTGTAAATAAACCATGTTCACTACCATTCAAATGGGGTTCATGGCACGATCACGCATACAATCTAAAATTAAGCAAACATAAACTCAATCAACTTTGAACGTGGTCATAAATAATCTAACAGTCTAAATGCATGTACAATGTTTATTCAACTGCATTCAAAAGAGAAAATAACCTTTACTGTGAAAGTTGCAGACTCTGTTTTGATGTAAGATCCCTCAGGAAGGTAAAATTTTCTAGATCAGATATACATCACTCTCTTTTTCATATGGGTGTCAGCACTTACCCCCTTTTAAATTTCCAGGGCCGGGTGAGTTATCCCCCCCCCAAAAAAAAAAACACTCACACACACAAATTTCAAAATCTTCCAGTTCCGAACACATTTACATCATTGCAAATGGTTACACACTGAGAGAAGAGCAACAAGAATGGTTTACCATGAGAAATAGCGATGCTCATACACTACAGCCAGGAGATACGGACATTGGCATTCATAACCTTGGGTTTCCTCTCCATTCTATCAACGCGAACGGGTGTTCAAATTATTTCTACGTGAAATCAAATCTGCGTTGGCCTTGAAAGGACGCCCTCAAACCTGTCTCCAAATGACGCTGTCTAGGTTTCTTTTGTATAGCGCCCTCACATCTGTTTGAAGTCATCTACGCCACATGCTTGAGTCGCGAGGTGAGTCTGAGACCCCAATACTGTCATTGCTATCCCCATGGACTACACCAACCACACCTAAAACTAAGACTGACTGAAAAGTTCGAAATATGGTTTAGGAAGAATGATCTTCATTTCTTAAAATTTTCAGATGGCTTCCTCGCAAAATGAACGGTTGAATAATTCCTCATTATACCCCACTTTCAATTTCTCAATGTCATTCTGGTAGCTGGTTGCGGTCTGTTTTGGACAAACAGTTCTGGTGTTGCTGCAAACTTGACTCTTCCAAGTAGAGGTCTCTATATATTTAAAGATAATGATCTAATTGTTATGTACACAGACACTATCGAAGTGGAGAGGAAGATCATGTGATATCCCAATCATACTGCCTGTCATTCGTTGTCACTCAAAACTGTAAAGGGGAGGCAGCCAAACGCTGCAACCGGCTAAAACACGGTTGGCATCAGCTTTCCATCGCAGTCGGGATATATTTGGCCATTTTCAGCCTTCTCGAGCCTTCTCCGACCCAGCTCAGAGTTATAACCCTCGCGAATATGGCCTGGAGACTCGTCTCGCTGTAACTTTTGGTACTCAAACCAACAGGTAAACATTAATCTTCACCCCTCGGCTAAGGTATTTACCCCTACATGAATGCTGCTTCTGCTATGTTAGATACCCTTTCCTGCACTTTTCGGCCGATCTTACACCACAAAAGTTTTACGATAAGAAGCGTTCAAGATCCTCTCGCCCCCTAATGACTGAGTTCGCCCTTCACAGGTCTTGCTAGTTGCCAAACACTCAACCTCGTTCCCGTGGGTACGATCTTGCCACGCCATGTTGCTTCCCACCATGCCTTGCGTCATTTTGGCGAAGGAACGAGAGACATGGTCATCAGCGGTATAGAGTTACTCCTTTTATTTTTCAGTGTTGCAAGCAGTGCAGGATTACACAAATATAGCATAGTTTGAGGGGAAATAATGGGAATTACTGATCCCAAGGTGTAGGTCAGCTTGACTACCTCCCTACAGAAAGGGGGTGGAAGCAGCCTAGCTGAGAAGAAGAAGTGGGAATTACTGGTCCAGGTATAGGTCAATGTGACTATATCTGTTAACAAAAAGCGGGGGGGGTAGTGTATTGGACCTACACTGAAATAAACGATACTACATTTGCTTTACCAGAATAGGGGCCTGAAATATCAACATGCAAGAAAAGTAACTGCATATAACTCCAATCGTTATGGACACATACAAACTGTACCTTCAGTTGGAAAACAAAACAAAACACACACGATGACTGGTCGGTGGTAAGATGTATAATAAACCCACCATAATTAAATAAGACACAGGCTATAAGGATACCACCGCTGCCACCAAAATTTGTACCAGGCCGAGCAGGCCGGGGCGTGGAAAATGAATACAAACTAACAGCTCTCAAACAAGTATAGTATTGAAAATCACACAAAGAAATGAGTATCTACAAAGAGATCCCAAAAGGCAAATTAACAAGGGTAGATCAATTACAATATCGTGTAATACAACCAATAAGACCATTGAAGGTGCGAGACTGGAGGAGAGAGCACGGCTAAGGCAAAGAAACCCCAACATTAAACTGGGTACAAAAAAATGAAGAAACCGAAAGAATGAGGAACACCCCAATGCACGCAGAAGAATTTGGACCAAATAACTGCCTTTTATGTACGATTAAGCGTAGAGTGATTAATGCCTGTATATATGGAATGCAGTAGTCTTGCTTTGTAAATAGTTAAATAATAAGTGCTACAAGCACTTCCTTTTTGAAACGTCCTAGTCGCTTTGGAATGATATTGTACGAATTTCAAAAAGCATGTCTCAAAACTAAGGAAATGCATGTTTTCTAGATACTAGCTACTCTACAACTTCGACGCGACTAATTAAGCTTAACCTTGCGAGCTTGGCCCCACTCACCACACCTGTACCGTAGGGCGCGGAAGCAACAGCGGCACGCTAACCATCCGATCGCTAACGTGACCGCTCCCCCAAGCAGGAGGACGGCGTACACATCCAGCTGGTAGCGCTCCACCAATCCCTGGTCCAGCACCCTGGGCCTCAGGTGCTTCCCGCCAAACCTGGCCACGTGGGTGATCCAGCCGGCTGCCTTGTCGGCCGGCAGTTGCACCTCGTCCCTTAGGATCTCAGAAAGTTTCTTGGCATTCTCTCGGAACCTATCAAGGAAAATGGATGAAAACATTTACAACTTAAATTTTATTCGATGGCAGATTTGAATTGACTATGAATTATTTAATTAAAGATGAATTCACGAAAGGTGGCTTTGTTTTTCTGGTTTCAAGGTTGAATTGAAACACTGCCAAGTGACGGAATTGGAAGTTTTGGCGCGTGAAAATGTACGCCAAATAGTATACTCTGATCGAAAGTTCGTGCTATGAATTCGTAACAGCTATACACATTTCGTGCCCACCTGAAGTATGCGTCAAATCTTTATAGGGGAGCCACACACTTTAACCCTGTATCATTACCATTTTCTGTGATGACTCCAACAAAACGTCTGTGCGTAGTGTATAGATAACTTCGCTTTGCCGGGTTTATACGTGCGTTTCAACCGGCACGGGAGACTTAACGCTAATAATCTGAGCCGGTTTTAAAAGTTAGTTTAAAGGTTCGGTTGCACACATCGATCCCTCGTGCTGAGTAAAACAAGAAAAGAATATTCATCAATGCCTCGGACAGTCTCCCTACTCAACAACCTGCCACCTGAACATTTGATAATGCCCGCTGAGAAGTGAAAATGCCGGCTGCCTAAATCACGCGCTGACACCCGGATATAAGACAATTTATTCGATTCTGATTGGTCTAGAGTCGGTATGCGCACGGCCCGCCACACGTGCGCCAAGTCCATACCGGAGATTCTTGTGGACAATATGCACAAGGAACATGCATAAAATGGATGGGGGGAGAATTCTGGAACAAAATCGTTGGAAATCAATCATATATGGGCTTCTTTTGACTCTCTAACAAAAAAAGGTGTTTATGACTGGGAATAAATATGTGCTTGGCCGACCTTAAGTCGCAAATGACGAGCAACGCTACATCTGTGCCCCTAAGTCTCTAATCATAATTAAGTTATGGAAATTTCGACCCAGAATAGGGCGGCATCTTAGATTACGCTACTATGTTAACGCGCATGCGCGTACGCGATCATGTGGTCAGGTTTTATTTTTCTGACGTCATCAGTTCAGATGTGAGCCACGCTTCAGCGTGCTTGTGAACGTGTTACGCTCGTGTAGGCTTCCGTGAGGTTTCGAATGGTTCGTGCCTCAAGGGACAATTTTACATGCCCCGTGTCCCCTCCAGCTCTACTTATGATCTCCCCGTTCTATCCGCCTTAAGCATGCAAGCGCCCCCTCATTGCTTGAAAAAGAGCCATGTTGTTCCGGAGTTTATTTTTTGTTGGTAGCCACGTGTCCGCAACGCACGCGTTTTATAGCTGTTTGTCAACCAGAGAAGCGCAGTTCCTACCAAAGGAGCATCCGTTGCGAGGAAAATTGCGCCCTCTCTTGGTCACGTTCGGGGCTACTAACTGAGGCGTACAAACTCACGTTGGTTCATTGATGACCTTTTGCACGGCTTGCTGGAGGTTATCCTCCGTCAACAGGAACAAATCCAGCGAGACTGCGAAGCCCTTGTCAACAGCTCGGATCAAGTTATCGAAGTGATCGCCAAACAGTGGGACGCCAACAATGGGTAGGCCAAACCAGGCAGCTTCCTGTACGATGCCAGAGCCACCGTGACAAAGGATTGCTTTAACGTTGGGATGTTCTGGAAGGGAAAAATAGCAGATAACCAATGAAATAGTGGCTGTTCCCCGATGGTGACACTCCGCAGCCACTACTACATGAAAATTGATCTGATCAAAATCAAGATTAAGCCGGACATCAACGAAGATAATGAGGGAAATTTTAATAAAGCTTCAAAACCATTGAAAAAAAAATCAAATAACGGTATTTGAATCCAAGCACGAACCCATGAAATGTCGCATTGGTATCCATGGAACCACCTTGGTGTTGTTCCCAAGGGCAAGATGTGATGTGTTACCCGTGAAATGCCACAACACCTTTTGAGAAATCTTGGCCAGACCCCTCGCGAATACGTCAGCCTGTGCAGCCGGCATCTCATTCATGTGGGTGCCGAGCGAAAACAAGACCACGCCCTCTTGGTCCGCACTGTTCACAAACACCTGCTGGTCAGGAGGTACCTGAAGGAAATATCCAAACTGTGAAGAAACCCTTAAAGCTGGACTTACTTTGCGCGATAAAAGATACGAACGCTGTGCTCCCAATTCGCCAAGTGAAACACATCTCAACTTCAAGCCAGTTCATATTTGGCGACAAAGGAAGGAAACACCAACGCGACTTTGTGACGCAGATCAATTTTTTGTGTGTGTTGCAAATGCGCAAACGCTAAGTAACAGCTTTTGCTGCACATCTTTCTTGACTTCAACATTTGTTTGGCTTTTAAATTCACTTGTAGCACGAACCGGCCATTAGGTGAATTCACAGCGCGAGTTTTGGATCTGACGTCACAAATTCACACTTGAGTTTGCTTGTGTGTAAAGTATAAACCAGCCTTCCAACAAACGAATTTCTCTAGGAATGTTTTGAGAGGTAAAAGTTTGCTTCGCTTTCGCGTTCGCTGCAAGCATGTACCAGTCTTGAGCATGCATCCGCGGCAGATAAGCGTGTGTGCTTCGCGTAAGAACCATCCAAGAGGTTACAATGAATTTGAACGTATGTTTCACCCCCATTCAACGTGTGGAAATTAACGACTTTGACCATGCGCGGCGGTTACTTGGCCGGACCGTCGTGAACCACACGAAAATGTCCTGAGCAACTTGCCAATCCTCTGTTGAGCCTTCTCGATTTGAAGACTTCGTTTGCACAAAGTTAACAAACGATCACATTGAAACTCTTTGTATGTGTTCTAGAAGGCTTAAACCGAATATAACATTACAGAATCATGAAAAGAAATGCTACATAAATATGAAATTTAACCTCAAAGTGGTTGCTAGAAAATTATTTCCATTTTTAATCGATCACTTGGTAATGTTTCCCACTATATTTCTCAATTTTAGAAGTTTTCCCAGAACAGTGAGACACTGCATACGACAGGTCAGAATCTCAACCACACAATACAATCAGTTCTATGTAGCTAGATCTTTTTGTTCGACTTTCACGAGTTTTATTTGATACTTCTACGCAGCGCGATCTACAGCCTACCTGTTTTACATACACAAAACCAATCCAACCACGTACCGCGGCGTACATGTACAGTGAACATGTACAGATACATGGACATTTTTGACGGAGCCGGTGTACATGTTCATGTGGTTCATGCGTGTAAAGTACATGTAAAACGGGGGATATAAACCGTGATTTTCAACATTCTCCTGACAAGTTTATAATGACAGATAGACCTCGGTTTCGATAATAAACTTCATGTTAACTTACTGTACTTGTGTGTTCGTCTTTCGTTCCCGAGTCACTGAATGCTTACTCTTGCAAGGCTGTTAAATTATGCGGGATGAACGGAATCGGTGTTGAATTAGGTCGATATCCAAACGCGTCCGGTCGGGAAGAGAAAAAAAAATCTAGCGCAAAACCGTCAGCAAATCTAAAACCTTCACACCTTTCTCCACCACAGCCCACTTTTGAAAACTTTAGGAAAACTTCAATTTTTTCCGAGCCTTCAAAAATCGCATCAAAACGTAAACAAACTACCGCTTTCGAAAAGAGCTTTTCACAAAAATCACTAGTTTTGACCACTCTGGTACAATTTCTCAATTTTATTTTCACAAAACACGTTGGGAAAAGGCCTTATCTTACCAAATATTTTGGGCAGGAATTTTATTTGCAAAAAGTGAAAGGAAGACGTAAATTCATGAAATGAAGCAGCTGTTTGCCTGGCACGAATTCCTATGGCCCTCATTACGCATGTAAATGACCCTAAAACGGGACATGCGCAGTTAATAATTTTCCTCTGAAACGTACATGTTTGAGACCCATTCAGTCTGTACAGCTGCAAAGCGGCGAAGCCCTACCAATATATTGCATGCTACAACCAAAGTTCCATTTTGTAAGCGTATCACTCGAGACTACAGCTCTCCGCTTATTTCCGTTTGACTCTAGAATCTGTTTGGTAATGTATTCTGGTAAGTGACATTTTTGTGCATATTGGCAGATTTCACAAAAAAGTGCAACTCATAACGTAATCTGACACCCGACGGGGTAAATGTTGGATCGAACAAGCTCGGCCGTATAAAATTTGAAATTTCGACTTTTTCAAATTCCTTTTTTGAAGACTCGAATCGTGTTTATAAAGATAGAAAGTTTTGGCAAGACGTCGACCGTGTGTTGAAAGTGGTTGTGCTGAAGACTCGACTGTAACCTGCAGTACAATCAACGGGAGATGGCTGTTTTCCTTCCTTCCTGCGAAATGGTGCATTCACATTCAAGCGACGTTTAAGTATAACTGCAAGTACCACGCGTCGACGGCGCCACAGACGCATGTTTATCTCGTGATGCAGAATGCGTCCAAAAAAAAAAGGATAAAATTGCAGACACCACAGTTAAAAACGTTCCTGCGCTGCCATCGATCAGAAGTTAAAATGTACAATTGGCGAGCGGTCTTTCTTAATGAGGTGCACATTATAGATTCACTTTAAGAGAGAGACTTTGAGACGCTTGTGGCAACAGACATACGTATGCTGGTCCTTTTCGACAGTATTGCGCGTGCTCAGAACTATGCAAACGTGCGCATGCTCAGAACTGCTACAAAGGATCAAAATGTTTGCCAAAGTTTTCATGAAGTTTCCCCTTTAGTTGATCATGCTATACCTGATGCGTTTCCATATCCTACCTTCAGATCGGCCTGAACACCGATGGTCGGTACAGCGATCAGTATCAGATTTGGTTGTAATGGACGTGGATAATCGAGAACCAAGTTCATTGAGAAAATCCAGAGCTCGGCGCGGCCGATCAGCTCCACGACTGAAGCTGCCGGGCCAATGCCGTACTTGCGCTGCAATGGCGAGTAATGGCAGGCCTGCTCGTAGAAGAGCACCGTGTAGAGGTAGCTCATAGCGGTGTTGGCTACTCGCTGCGGTAGCGTCATGTCACTGCTCAAGCCCAGCTGGCGTTCTGGTATGTACGTAGACTGACTTGGGACTCCATAGCTGAGGAGAGTAAAATCCTTAATCGTTATCTTATTACAGACTCTGAGGTACGATGTAAGCAGCCGGTAATGGACGTACTGACATCAGGGGGGAAGCGAATCAAGTCATTCTAATCATTGACGATTTTTTCCACCATACTTCATCTTACAATTGAAACTCGAAAAATAATTGCCGTTGGGTTTGCACATTTGTAAAAGTTAGGATTGTTTTTCTACATTTCACTGTATTTATGGAAGCATAAGCCAACAAAATTCATACTGCGTGTTGCTTATAATTCTTTAGTTTTGCGATGCACTGGTCGCAAAAGTTTCAATTTGTCCCTAACGCTTTACCCGTAAATTGGTGGTCCACAAAATTAGAGTGCAATTGTAAAACCCATGCCTTATGCGCAGAAGAAATCCACTGGTATAATACTTTCACAATGCAATCTTTTTTGCTAGTCATTTCTGTTTTTAGAACGTACTTACAGGAGTCCCAGCTTTGCCGGCTTCATAGGCGAAGCACTGTACAGGACGAATCCGATTCCCAGTTTTTCCGCCAGGAGTGGGATGCAAAACGTCAAATCATCCCCGATCAGTAGGTCAAAGCGTTCAGCTTCCATGCGCCGGGCGGCATCGTCATCGCCCAGCAAAGCGTCGCATTCGTTGATTGGGAATTCCAGGAGCATCCGCTGCCGCGGATCCCTGAGACCGCGCAGTGTCAACTTTATGATCCCGAGAAGGCTCCGCAGGTCCCCGTTCATCACGCTGATGGAGAACCGCCTGGAGATTTCCCTGCGGTCCTCCTGCGTGTAGAGCGAGCGGTAGACGATGAAGTGGAACAAGTGCGCGTCGTCCGCGTGGAGCCACTTAGTGCAACTGCTGCTCAGTAAGAAGGTGACACTGTGACCGCTTCCCACTAAGGACTTCGCGATGCTGGCCAGTTGCATGTGGTGACTGCCATCGTCCGCGCTCGTGTAAATCAAAAACTTGAACCTTGAACGACTGACATTGTCTTCACTTTGGCAGACGCGCATGGTAAACACGCAGAAGCCGAGCACCATGAGCAAACATCGCCAAAAAGAACCCATGATGACTTCTGATCTACAGTTATGATTTATCATAAAGTCACGGTAGGCCCCCAACTCTTTAACTGAATCAGCTTGAACGTTCACGTAGTACCTGTTTTCAACTCTCATTGAAGGTTGGTTTGTTTATTTTTACATTCTTTTGGTACCTGCACATTTGGAATGTTGTGACTGAAATTTAATTCTCCATGTCCACATTTTCTGAAATGTATCTGCACATTGACGAGGTTACAAAGCGCGGGTCTCTATTTCTGCGAAAAACAGTCCTCATAACTATATCTATATACCCATATTAGGGAGCACAGGAAGTGAGGGTAGGCTGAATAGGATCAGTAGGAATACCAGCAAAAAGATAGCTGAACTCTCTGACGAATCTGTACCTATGTCGACAAGGGAAAACTAAAGCTGTTGTTTTAATTCACACGTGTCTTTATGGGTGTGGTTTTACGAGTGTCCCAGACAGGTTATGGAGTACCGAAGTGAATACGTCACATACTCCGGTACTCTAGGGCTGAGTTCGGGTGGCTTGTTCTCGTACGTTCAGGAAGAGCTCAATTTGTTGTTCCAGGGTCGGCCACTCGAACGCTGGGAACCGGTTATCGCTACTAGTAGTTACTTGTAGCATGCAAGCAACATGCAACATGGCGGCGTCCTTGTACATTCTTTGAGATTTAATGTTTGAGCTAACTCCTTTTCCATTAAAAAAATCATACCTGTCATTGGAAATTATTGATGTTACTTGTGCAAAACTTTCCATTGTCTCCGGTTTTGTATGACATCTCGATAGTTTTGCAGCTTTTCAAAAATCAAATCCCACGAGTTTTCCCGTGTGTTCGTGTAAAACCCTGACGAGGAGGACGGTGATGTGTGAATTTGTTTCGAGAACACTGTTCTTGGGTCATGTTCCCGCCGTTCGAGCGCGAGAACGCGAAACCTGTGTAACTCGCTCTCTTTTAGAGACCACCATCTTTCCTAACACTACTTGCAATCGCCACGTCACAAACAGGTCAAAATCATATTTTTATGGGGTTTTAATTTACCTGCTATGTCTTGCACAGCAGGTTAATTAAAACGTCATAAAAAATATATATTTTTTTATTTGTATTTGTACAGTTAATTCTTTAGGATGGTCATGTGCTGCATATATGCGACTTCGTATAATGCAGGTGGGGTATCGTTGTATGGGGTATGCACAATTGTGTGTAAAAAACGGACTAGCGCGAGAACCAGCGTTGGAGCCAACGCTCGCAAGACTCTTTTGTACGGTATTTATTACTTCCGTAGAGCTATTTATATATTTATATATAGCTCTATGACTGGCTCTATCTAAACGACGTTACACTTTGGTACCCTATAGCCTCCTTCGATAGACTGTATTTCATGTGTCCACCATCTTGAATTGAAAGAGACAGGAAACCTTTTGGGAATCTGAGAGTCAAACTAGCAGTCCAATGAAATAAAAGTTTACACAAGTTAATATCAATTTTCGTTTAGAATAATTCAAAGAATTGTAATAAATTATATCTAAATTCGTGAGGAAACAAAAGAAAGTTTGGTTTGGAAACCGTAATACTCTGCCATTTACCCTACAGTCCAGTACATAAGGAACAAGGTACAAAAATGACTCCCCCGTGAATAAGGCTTACCTCTTACACAAACAGACTTTAAAATGCTCTCCTGAAAGCGGAAACCAAAAACAATAGAGGGGGGAAGGTTTTAGAAGCTGTAATCCATTGTATTTTGGGCTAATTTTTACGCTCTATTGTTAATTGAAACGTTTGTCTTGATTTCCGCTCATTATTGTATCGCCTCCCAACACGGGAGATTCACAAAAGTGCGCCTCCAAGAGTTTGCAACGCGTTGACCAATCACAATGCGCGTAATCTGTCAACCCGATGCGCATTTGGAAGGGGTCGACAGATTTCGCGCACTGTGATTGGCCAACGCGTTGCAAACACTTGGGGTGCACTATTGTGAAACGTCCGTATTGTGAGCGTAACCATCAAAGTTATTCAGTGGCCGATTTCCATAGGGTTTTCGGTCACCTATCCTGTTTTCTATTCTCATTGTCTGTTGAAATTAATAACATCTCCCGCATTTTTTAATTATGCAATATAGAACTGACCAAACTTTTCATTGTCATCCAAAACAGCGACAGGGTCAAGGGTGAAAAATAACAATGAAATGATTAATTTTCCACCCAAGCTTTTCAAATCAGCCAAGGATTTTGCATGAACCTATTCTACACCCAGCAACACTATTGAACAAGAATGGTGGCCGATTTTTTCAACATGGGATCGTGCTGGGTCCTTCGCGGTCTACGTTCGGATCGCCAGCCGGAGTTCTAGCAGTAGTATCACCCATCATAACAGAATCTCCAACTCTGTTCCTACGGAGAAAAATCTTCTTTAGTTCCACCTGGAAGCGTTCATACTTGAAGGTGTATATGATGGGGTTCACACACATGTTGCCCAGCACCAAGGCCGTGAAGATCCGATGCAAGGTGCTCTCGAAGTCATAGTGACCTCCCAGATTGTACATGATGTAAGCGATCTCCGTGGGTGTCCAGCACACCGTGTAGGACAGGAACACCACGCACAATGTCAACGTGACGTTGCGCTTGGCACGCTGAAACGAGTTCACCGCCTGCGTGTTGTCGCGTTTGCTCTTCTTGCGCAGCATAATGACGATATTGGCGTAGCTGAAGCACATTATCGACAGCGGGATCAGGTACTCGCAGCAGAAGAAGAACAGCCCGCCGATTTTCTGCACCGTGGGGCTTGGCCAGACCGCGTAACACTCGCCCTGAGTAAAGGTGTGCAGGACCGCCCAGTACGACTGGTACAGAAAGCCCACGATCCACACGATCACGCGGCCGATGTTAGCGCGGCGCGGTGTGAACAGTTTGCGGTGTTTGACGGCGTGGCAGATGGCGAAGTACCTCTCCAGGGACACGAAGAGAAGGTTGACCGTGGACGCCACGAACAGGGACCAGATGATGTACTCGGAGAACCATATCCGGCAGGCCAGCTCGCCTAAGATGTCATCTCGCTGATCGGCCAGCTGGGGCCCAAACCGGAGCACCAAGTACAGGATCGAGTCCACCAGGTCAATCATGGACTGGTTCAGGATCAGCAAGTTGGTGGACGAGCCAAACACCTGCCGTCGCATCAGGAAGACCGTGCAGACCAAGGAGTTACCAAGGATGCCAAGGCAGCCTATGGCGCCGTAGACCGCGCCCAGGACATGGGCCGTGGTGGAGTCAACCCCAGTCCAAACGTTGGTGGCGAGTGTATTGTTCTCTGTCATTGTTTGACCGCCGAACACGTGATGCAAGTTAATTACAATAGCTAATCAAGTTTAAACTGACTTGAAAATGAATTTAAAAAAATGCGGAATCAAGAACAGCTGAAAAGCTCCCGAACTTATACCGTGAAGGTCACTGATCCTAACGGTGTCTTATAATAATTCTTTTAAGATGGATGATAATATTATTATCAGCGAATGGAGACCTTTAAAGCTCGGGAAAAAAAACAACCGTCAGAAATAAGCAATAGGTATCGAAGGTAGAATTTTATTTTCAGTTCGGTTTATTTTCTCAGCATCACAGTCGGCATCAGGCAACGAATATTCACCGACAATTTTTTGGCAGATTTTCTGAGCAGATCACGCTATTCACTGAATGCGTTTCCATTAATCGGCTCGTCCAATCCACGGAACAATCAGATTAATTGTTGGAGGCCTTCTATCGATGATCCTTCGCGCACAGCTCAAGGTTGTACTGAAAAGAGTCTCGCATCTCTGCCCTTCTTACTAAGCCCATAGCCTACTGTGCTGGTAATAATCAAATTAGGCACCCATTCAGAGCCTCGCCAGAATGCCAAAGCCACAGTGGATGATACTCAGCAGCGAAAATTGCGAGTAATGTTACTGTACCACAATGAATAGCCTTCAAATCTTTGGTCTCGCTTTGCGAGTGCGCTTTCTTGATGGGCGTTTAGGAAGATGTTCTCTTGTAACGTTTGACCATACCTGCTAGAGAGCTCGAATTCCAGGTTATCACGGCTAACGTTTTAATGGAAAAGCCAATGACGAGGATTCCTCTCAAATGAAACTCTCGCACATTTTCAAACTGTTACCTTCGTAAGTGTCGATGCAAAAAAAAATTCTGGATTGATTGTACAGACGTTACGTAACGATTCAAAGCACTCCAACCGACGCTCCTTGTCGCGAGTGAGTCAAATGTACACGTATAAACAAAGTGTTTCATATCTGCAATTTCGAGTACTTTCGGTAAATCACAAATGAAACTAGTGCCCTATTAGCGATTCCTCAAGAGTCGTTCTTAGTTCCGATGCCTCTTTTCTTCAGTTGTGTAGAGCGTTTTATGCACTAATTGTGAAGCGCTTTGGGAGCATCATTGTGCACTGGAAGTTGCAGATTCTCTACAAGGAAGCACACATCTGAAGTGTTTGCTAAAATCAGCCAGCAGACCGATTTTAAGATGATTCAGGTAGAGATCTGTAAGAAAAACTGAGCCAACGATGGTGGGAAAACTGACATCCAGCAAAGCTCATTTATTCCAAAAGTGTGCTCAAAAACGAGGACGATGGGGGAAATTGGTGACTCCAACGAGTTTGTATGGACGAGTAGTCACAGACGCGGGAGACAATGTGTACAGACCCAAGCTAGTAACTGGGATTGACCATTCTCCGCACACTGTGTTCTCCGGGCAGATTCTAGTAATTGACACGCACTTGATGTAAGACTTGGCCTATCAATCTTTAACGAGCAGTTTGTGCCATCGGTGGGGCTGTGATCTGCCAACAGAAAGGAAATAAGTTTCCAGGTTACGTTTCAATCACATTATCTGCCATTACACAACTCCCCCTGCATACTGACACGTTAAATATAACTTTAATTCGAAACGACTGTTTGCCACAGTCGTTTGCTGTTGTCAAGCCAAGAACTATGTTCATGGGCACGCAGTCGTAGACCGTCTGGCCCGAAGTGAAACTTTCAGGCTTTTTGAAGTTGTTTACCTATTATGGTGTTCAGCCCACGGAATGGTTTGATATTGGTACACGAAGTTGAAAGAGGAAATACCAAGGCCCGACAAACGATTCTGAGTGCGGAATCAATAATCTGGACCCGCTTGGCAGAAGGTGAAAAATAAATTTGTAAAGTTGACCGTGCCCAAGGGCATGACTTGCCGGCCGCGTTGAGAAATCAAGCAACCTTGAATATGGAAAACAGTGGCATGTTTGCTGTTCATACGACCAGAGTGTAAGAACACCATTCTGACAAATAAAATGAGTCACTCTGGTCGTGTGTAAATGCTTAACTTGAAAGAATGATTTTAAATAGAGCGAAACACAATAAAGTGCGCCAGCAAGAGGTTGTCAGTGAGAGGCCATTTTTAAAGCTTTTTGATAAATTAGGAAATTCCGTCTAACAGAAAGAAAAAAGGATCAAACTGCTGCTCAGAATACTCTTTTTACGATTTTTTTCCTGACAAACGCAGGGAATGATTTAAGTTTCCCGCACGCAGCCGGCGAATAAAGTTTGTCGAACATTTCCCACAATGCGCAGGGTAAATTGCCTTTGCATTACAACCTCTTGGTGGCGCACTGTATTGCTTAATTAAAGAAATTTAAGAAAGAAATGTTGCAGAGTGCTGCAGACCACGACAGCATTCCCAAACGAAACTATAAACAGCTTAAAAGATTTTTCGACATTCTAATCACGTGAAGAATTAAATTCGTTACGTAAATAATTACATTTATGTCGTAAAAAGAATGTCACAAAATTTGACACAAACAGAAAGAGACCAACACCGGAAAAAGAATAACTGTTCAAATAATACCAACTCCTTTTCAGACGTAAAGTGTTACCCATTCAGTCATTGTATCCCCTCCATACAACAAAAATGCTGACGTTTTGCGAGGTATCGAGTTTTGTGGTCAACAATCATCGTTTCATCTTTAGGTCCCTTGCTTACCTGCGCCGAGTGATTTTCAAGCACGGCCCCCCCAAATAATACGAAATCCAAGTCCGGGTCGGCTGAGTTTGCGTAGGAAATAACAGCTCAGTAAATAAAGCTTTCGCTAAACATGCACACAAACACAATATCCGTTTGTCTTTCCGCAGTAAATGAACCCTACGTTTAATGAACTTGTGACAAGCGATTTAGCGCAGCAGGTGATTGACTAGTCGGTTCCGGACACAAAGAGAATGCCGGTTCCGATGACGCGCCATAGGTGTCATATTCCGCGTCACAAATGATCCACGCGATTGAGACGTCCTCCCAACGCAGTTACCTCCCAGCGCCCAATGACAAAGTAAACATTATCATAACACCTCACTAACGATTCTGTATCTCGACTGGCCGAGAGCTAGTCACATGACATTCGCCGTTTTTGCTGTCTACAATACCCGTAGCAACCAAACAACTTTCTATATGCATGACCGCCACTAATTAGTGAGGTGCGCTAAACAGTGCAATACGCATGGCAGTAATGGCATACCCTCTGGTTTTTATCGTTGATTGTACGCATGCGTATGTAATGCTGTGAAAAGTATTGTTACGGACCGTGCCCAGACTGAGCAGCAGGAACAAAAGATGGGTGTCTTTTAAATGAAAATGACCATCCTTGACTCCATGGGCAGCGTGCGCGTTCCTTCACCAGCCCCTCGTCGTGTAGAATACGAAAATGACGCTGATTGGCTATTCAGGATGAATATACATGACGCGGTAAAGTCAGTCGAGTGCGCATCTCAAAAGCTGCGCGCTTGTGCCTACGTACATGTATTCTCTTGCACGTCACGCACGCACGCGTAAATCTGCGTCGCTCGTAAACGCTACAGTGTTGGGCTCAAACATCTCGTGGAAAGGTGTGGTTCAGAAAGTGTTGAACAAATTTCACTTGACTCGCCTTTTATTCGTTTAGATTAAATTAATCAGTTATCACTTGGGCCTAAAATGAAGCAGAATTTGTGGGAAGTAATATAAAACTGATATTGACTGCTTTTCTCGCGGTTCCATGCTTTTCTCGAAAAAATGGAATGCTCCACTGATCACCTCGGTTTTCGGGAGGCTAGTTTGAAGACATCACGAGACAAAGCAGTCAATATTTGTACAATACATGTTCGTGTAAGCAAGCCAGACAGGCAGAGACACTCCCAAAGACGCCCTCAGGCGAATACTAATTAAGGGAATAAATATGTGCTTTGTCGGTCTTAAACGTTCTTTTAAGACCGGTCAGGAGGGCGCTTATTTGATTGCAGCCATGCATCCGGAGGGTGCTGGGCCATTTTCCACCCATTAAAGGAACATTTAAGTCCTGGAAAAGCATACAGTGTTCCCATATATAAATACATTGTGTCAGGAAGTCATTCCAAGTTATTCAATTACAGAATTTCCAACGACTGTCTTCAATAATTTCAAGTCATCTTTATGCAAACATCCCCATAGCCATGCTATGTTATTTTGTTATGCGGGTAGTCGTGGGCGTTCTTATAACAGATAGGAGATTGCGCACGGCTCGTAGTGCGCGCGGTCCATGGAACACAGCCTACAGATGGTGCGTACTCGCCTAGTTTGAGACCGATCACGAGACGCGTTCTCGGCAAATAGAGGTCGCTTATGTGTTGGGTATTTATGAATCAGGCACTAAAAGTGTGACAATGTTAAAACTTCCATCTGTTTAAAAACCAACTCAGCGCACCTTTCGCCCCGTTCACAAATTCCCTTTCGGTGGGCAAAAATTTAAAGTAAGTCGAAAATTAATTATGCCGTGCTTCCCGAGCGAATGCCTGCGGTTCGTGCTGCGCGCGCAGTGTGACGCAGAACACAGCGCCAGCTGAGCTATGTGCAGCACTGATCTCTACATGAAGAGCGAAATTCCAACTCTGCAAATGCACATCATGATTATACTTGTCAGTTAAGAGGGTTAGAGTCCAAAGAATAGGTCACCATTTTATATTCAACCGGGAGAGAGTCTAAACCAGTTGGTACTTTCATTTAAAAACAACCACCTAACTTTAATTTAATTCAATTTTCTGAGGGTTAATTTTCTGAGGTAATAAATCATGTTTTGTCAGCACAAAAAAGTGCATGCCATTTTTAAATAACTAAGGGGATACTCGGACAGAGCACATTAACCCCCAATGAAGAAAGAAGTCTGTTCTTGCATTCGTGATGAGGTATTGAGCAAGACACGTATCTTGGTTTTACCAGAACATGTAAAGCAGACTATAAGCTGGGACTTAAATACTTGTGTACAAAGCAAAAGCTGAAAGATGAAAACTACGTTAAATTAAAGTAAATCATGGCTAACATAACAACAAATACTCGCAAAATTAAATCCCCTTTCGTCAAAATCTACATTGCGAGTCCACGCTGACAATGCCTGCATTCCATAACCACGTTATTTTTTTTAAAAAATGATTTCTTGAACTACTGCAGCCAAATTGGACTTGATTTCGGCAGGAAATCATAACCATGTCAGGGACTCCGTGATTCGTATATCCTTCTAAATGAAATACTCTTTCAATTTTGAACGTAAAACAACAAAAAAAATGAAAACAGGGGAAAACTATATACGCAGCATGAAAGCGTGGGTCGTGACAACCTTTTGTCGTTTTCCCTCAAGATTTCCTGATCGAAACGCGGATGGATGCCCGTGTCATGATTGCGCTCTTCAATGTGTTCAGTGGTTGTGCGTGCTTTGATTGCCTGCCCAAGAATTTGATTTTATAAGCCGGAAGGTTTGCCCTCCGTGAGATCTCTTTCAGAAATTGAGTCGCTCTAACAGTAAAGCTTTCCGCCGATTTGCTACACTAACTGCATATTCAAAACATCCAACTTGTCCATCCAAACTGACGTGCAATCAAAGCCTGTTTTTCCGTATTCTCCTCTTTGTGATTTGGTAGTTGAACTCGGCCGATTTGTGCCAGAGACAGCCTACAGTCATGTCCAACACTTTAAGACAACCTGGAATTTATTGGTATTTCTGTCGCTTGGCCTGCAAGTATATTGTCTCTTTGTATGAATACTCAACATTTTTTTACAGTGGCGCATAACATCAGTGAAGTGCTATCCATTTCAATGATTTTTTTTTTGCAAAGGCAGGTCTTGTACAACATTTTGTCTGTAAGGCCACATGGGTAAAAAAAAGCCAGTTTAAGTAATCAAAAAAAATGTAGGGCACACTAAATATTAGGCTGTTACCATTTCAAATCATGGAAATATAGTCAAATGGCTGTTATAACCAATATACTAAGGTTCAGATTGAAAATGAACATAAATTACAATGATTGATGGGTTTAAGTTTGGTTTTTTTTTTCAAGTTAATGCATTTTGTATGCGTGGTCCTAAACCTACAAATGACTGTATTGCACATATAATTTTACCATCTTTCGTAGGCCTATAATTACGTTAAATGTGTCATAAATTTGAGAAATAAAAAGATAAGTGAGTAATAGAACGAAAACAACGAAACAAATGGTCCTTGACGATCGCCATTTCCTTTCAGCCAAATGTGTCTCTCAGCAAAAACTATGACATTTTGCAAATCGGGATTGGACTAATCGTGAGATTCAGTTTATTGATATCCAATCTCCCATGATCTCCATATTGCAGTTTTGTTTGTTTGTTTGTTTGCTTGTTCCAATCAAGCTTCAGTCCTAGTTTGTTTTTCAAATATTTCTGAGCAAAATTCAACCTCATGAAAAACACTGTGACCCATCAAGGCGCATTTTACAAAAAGTCCGTAGTCGAAATTTATCCTTACCACTGCAGTCCTTGTAAGATGCGTTTGATAACACTGACCACCATCCAGCTTCGGAGTTAGACAACATCTAAAAACAGCAAACACTCTGCCGGTGGGTTAATTAACCCGTCGATGCTCCCCATCTATCGTTTCCAGTGAACACTCACTGAGATGGTTTTAAAGCTTATCAAGAGACGAAGCGGTCCTTGAATCAACTAGGCCAACTGACTTAACCGGTTGGTGCGGACGCATTCTCCATAGTCTGAAGTGCCCAGTGCTCGAGGAGAGGAGATAAAAATCAACAGCGAGCGGCTTGAGCGCATCGTAGGAACACAAACTGTTACAGCTCTAGCAGAGGTCGGTGTTGAATGGCACCAAAAGCCGAACTGACTAATGACTGGCGCGTGGCGAGAATGTCTCAGTATGCCGAGATGATGCAGCTCCATGTGTTTGCACACGAAGATCTTGGGCCGAGGCGAAAGCGTTGATCACGTGCGCCTCTGAGCTGCTCACACACTGCGAGGAGTTCAGTGACTCGCTTGACTAGGCTTGGGAGGAGGTGCCGGATACCCGTGGGAAAAATGCCCAGGTTGTGAGCGTCCTATAACACGCCTGGCTGGTTCCCGACCGTGAACAGTCATTGCATTGTCTTCGTCAACTGCTCGGAAAATGATCAATTTCAGTCACGACGCTGACTCGTTCGCATTCGTAGACTTTAACTGGATCATTGGTTTCGGTCACAGCTAATTCCTGGTGTCATGTTCAGAATTGATATCACAGTCCGGTAAAGACAACTGACCGGAGGTCTGTATGGACTCACTGTCTCACTGTAGCAGTCTAGAAACTGAAAAAGAAGGAATTAGAAGGTGCTATTACTGAGCACAGCAGCAATGAAAAACAAAGTACCAGTGCGGTTGCAATGTACCAGTGCGGTTGCAAAGACGTGGCAGCATGAACGACCAATTGAAATCTTTACTCCTTGTACGGTTAGAAAGTTTCAGCCTCTCGCGGTTCCAGGGCTGTTGGGATTAATATGTGCCGTAAAACATTCTCCAGATTGAGAACAAACATGCATTTCACGAGGGAACTCCGACACCTGGTTTATTAGAGTTTTGCGCATGGCACCACCGCAAAGGTCTATTTAATTAGGAAGAATGCCCGGGGTACAACTGATACGACCACATCTCCACCAAGAGCCCGGTGCCGTGAAACGGAATCCGAGGGTCCACCCTACGTAAATAATTCGAACTCCTGGGCAAATGGCGAACCGGTGCAAGTTTGAAAAAAATTAATACTTCAGCTATGAGTTATTTCGACTTATGTTTCTCGAGGCAAATATGCATACGGACTTCAGCACACACCACGGAACAGGCTTGCAACATTCCAGGAAAGAAGCCAACATTGGAGCATTTGTTTTGACCACACTGAATGTACTCGGTTTCCCAATTAGGGGGAACAAGTCAGGGTGATGCGAATATGGCCGAGACACCTGGATCTCTTTCTTCATTGGATTACCAGCGTCTGTGATTGCTTGTTTACCCAGACAAGACGAACAACAGTCTGTGTATTGGGCAGGTGGTGCCAAACTTGTTTGACTTTTAGCTCCAGATATTCAAGATGCTGCAAATCGCATCACAGAAGAAAATTTTGAAATCCTCTTCTTTCCCTCCCAAGCAAAAATCATTTTCCTAAAATTATCCATACAGTTATGCTTGGTTGCTTTTGCACAACCATCATTTGCTATCATATTACAGTCATCCCCCAAATCAAAAAGCGAATGCACATAAAAGTAGATATGAGTGTCATTCAATGTCATTCGAAATTTCCCAGGCGAAGCGAAAAATATCAAGTGAACGCCTATTCCATGCAACTGCCAAAAAACTCTCAATGTCCACACGCCATGATTTGCGCCATTGAACTGAAACAAACATTGATTTTAGCTAAGTGCAAGCCACAGAACGATCCACAATACCAAATTACAGAGGACCTCGTATACTGCCTTGCAATAGGCCAAATAAAATTCAAAACAAAGTAACATATTAAACTAAAGCATGTTTTGCAACCATAATTGTGCAAAATAGAGAAGGCGAGTTTTTTCGTTATCTTTCTTTAAATTCCAAGGTGATCACTAAAACTTTTCAAATTACCAAAAGTTGTCGACGTTTAAGTTCAAGACGCTAAAAAAAATGAAGAGACATACCGGATAAAGAAGGGAAGATTACTCAACTTAAGAAAAAAAAAGCTTGGGCTATTTCATCATTTTGTGGGTGAGTTAAAACTCAGCTGTTAAATGGTCGCACGCAACCCAGAATTTATCAAATCATTTCGAAAAAAAGGTGTCGTTGCCATACACTGATAAAGTAAATGCTAGAAAATTGGACAGCAGTATTGTGTGGATAGCGCTCTTGAATGGGAAAAAACAGAAATGGCGGTGTGCGTGTACTTTGGTGAGTTCGGTTCTTTGTCGCCATACGGATACGGATATTGCGTACTCGAATAAGATGGGACGGTCGCGCGAGGGAAGTAACAAAATTACAGATTAAGATTGCGCAAAAGGACTAAAATTTTAACTTTGAACGGCTACAAACAGAAATGAGCTTGGTCAACACCTTTAGCCTATAGGACACCTCCTCCGGAAAAAAATGCCGCGTTACGGTTCAGCATTGCAGAAAAAAAAACTTCCAGCGCTGGTGGGCTATTAGTCAAATCGATGATCGTCCGTCCACCCGAAGTGTTGTTCCAGATTCCCTGATGATAGGGTGTAGCTTGGGTCAATAGACGGATAGGATCTTGAGCCGGGCCCAAGGGGGGCTAGCCTTTTTAATTACTCCGCGGACAAGCCTTTTGGTGGCAATGCGACCTGTTTTGCGTTCACGGCGAGCTGCGCTCGATCGATGGCGGCCGGCGACGAGGCACAGAAATAAAATACTCACAGATTGGCTTCCCAGCTTATAAGGGGGGAAAACGATTTCCTATTCTTGACTTCTAAACGTCGATTACTTGGGTATTGGGCCAAACACATTACCTCGAAAAACCAACTGAAAACAGAACGAAACTGCTCAACACCAACGTACTTTTCTCCAAAGAAAACAACAGAGGCATAATACGTGCATGTGGAACCAGTCCTGCTACATAAAATTACTGCTATTTGTATGGTCCTCACAGTTCTGGGGTAGTTTTTTGAAAATATCTTCGCTACTCCTTAAAGAACTCCTCATGGACAGAAGTTAAGTGTGAGGTTTCGTTTCATGCTAGGGACACTTTTTTCTCAGTGCCGTCAAGAAAATGGTTCAATTTATGTTATAAGCCAAACACTTGCTCACGCACTTCAGTGAGTTTGCCAGTCTCTGGGCTAATTGTTTCATTCTCCCACTGGAAGTCAGCGCACGCTTTTCAGCTGAAAACGAAAACTCAGAAGAAACAAGCAGCCAGCCTGCCGGATAAGTCGATTGTGTAAGCATTCAAATACAACTGCCCGCCATGTGACTGATCAAACATACTGTGTAAACGCCCCAATTAGAGCCACGTGCCGTCTCAGCTATTTATCGGACTCTCCGTCTGAACGCCCTCCTCAACGAATCGTGACTTAAGTGGGTCAGGCTTCCTGTTGTCAAGAAATCACCATTTCAAGAAAATAATGATCGTTGCTAACAGAGGGGAAATCTGGAGATGGTGTCGCCTTTCATCGAAGACACTACGTGCGGATAAACCAATCCGTGGGCTCGATGGAGTCAGGTATTTGTTCTCATATCATTAACGACCATTTCATCTGGAGGAACGTGTGTTATAGTAATTGTATACATGACCCCCCCTATAAAGTAAAACACCTCCAAATTGACATCAGAGAGCACTTTGCACCTCGTGACTTAGACAGATATATGGTCGCATCTGAACGGAACAAAAGTTGGGGCATTTTGTGAATGTTTCGTGTGGCTTTTTTTTTCTTTTTTGGAGTCTTGCTATGATTGATATTGACGGCAGCTTCCAGATCACTTCATGTATCTGGTCTTCATCAAACCAGGAGAAAGACTTTGGTTTGTCAAGTTCAGAGACGGATAAATTGACGAAATTGAGACAAACGCAATGGAGTTTCACAGCTCCGAAATTCTAAAGTCCCGTACTGTTGAATCAGAGCAGCCATAGACGCGAATCTGACACATCGAAGATGAAATATTATAGTATAAATCAACGGACCCTAATAGCTAAGCCGTGGAAAACACTAAACGGCGACACAAAAAACGATTTATATGAAATTGATGACCATGTACTTTCTTACCTGACCTTCGATCTGTTTGCTCTCTGAATCATCGGGAAAAAGGGGATCGTTGGGCTTGTATTGTACTAAAATACGAAGCACATTAGAGAATAGTTTTCTTTCAATATAGCTTGGTATTCACACCTACGATTATAGTACTCAAAGAAATGGTTTCATCTTGCGGAATCTACAACACAATGAACGTGTGTTGCAAAGTTGCCAATCGTGCTCCAGATAGTTCCATAAAAACAATAATTTGGGGGTCATAAACTGTTGTATTAAAAGCTCAATGAACAGAGCATTGGGCACAGAACTCGTCATCGGTTCTCGAGTAAAGTTCAAGTACGACAAGGGAGGCACTCAACTCGCACGAGAGGCTTCGCGCGGCACCCGCGAGCTGCAGACACGGCTCCCCACACCAGAATGCTATTTACCGGTCTCAGGTACTGCAGGGAACCCATTCCTTAATCGTGTCACTGGGACGAGCTGGAGGGTGTTCAGACCCACAGCCCATTTCTCCGGTTGTGAAAGGTCAACATAATTTCAAAGCACAGAAACATCTGCACGATTCGTTTTACCCCCTTGGAATTTCAAGAAAAGGCATTCAATTGGGAATCTCCTTAAAAGTATATCATTTTTTACATTGCATCCAAACATTCTACGTAGACACAGTGACACCTGCAAGTAGGCCTACTATAGTTCCACGCGTGTGTTTTACAGAGCAGTGCACTCTAAATTATCATACAGTGGACCGCTTTATTATCCAAAATTGTATTAAACCAGCGAAACACAGTTCACCGCAAACGACTGTGTATATTTATTGAATGAGCTGTAAATACAATTAAAACAGTAATACCGATGTTCTTTCCAGTACCTAGAACCAGTAAAAAGCGTTCCATAATCGGAGGCATTGTTAGCTACTCGTATCTGTTACGGGATACCGTCATACATTTACCTAGACTTGCAAGTGTGTATTTGCCTGCAACTGGGCACCCCCTATTGTTCCTCTTTTGTCTGTACTTCAACTTTTTTAGAAGACCACCCATATGTTTGGTACCCAGTTGTCAACCGGGGACCCTCTGTCAACCGGGGACCTTATTGTCCTCCATTATACAGGGTCCCCAATTGAATGCAGAAACAAACTCGAATGCAGTCATTATGTTGAAGTCCTTGTCCAAATCCTCGTTAGGGAAGCAATGGCAATATCAGTTTGGTTCCAGCGCCCGAGTG